CTGGAAACCTCATTATAGTTCCGTCTGCAGCACTTGCTACAGTCAAGCAAATTAATGACATCTTGAGTACTCAGTTTGTGGATCGAATTCATAGAGATTGTCAGTTATCTCTTTTAATATTACCTACTAGTAAGCTGCCCACGGGAGTATTGGCTGTTTTAGAAAAGCAAAAAGTATATTGTATTGAATGGCTTTATTTGCCCCATACACCATCCCAAAATGTTTTGCCATTTATCCAAGCCATTGCTGAAATTATAACTTTGGGGCGCACTCGAGTTTGTCGTAGAAATGGGACTGATTTAATAAATATTGTTGTTCCTATCCCAAAATCACTTTTATTTTCAGAATAACTTATTTCTTCAGTGTGCTCTAACTGACTATGTTGGTTGTATTTCATATCATTTGCCTAAAGATCCTCGGCTTACTTGTTTAATGACTTCCTCCTTTCCTGTTCGCCCACTGCTTTCTCCCTCTCCATTATCGCAAGCTCTTTTCTGATGGAGGATGAACAAGAGGTGCGATTGCTTACAAGGATCCTCATGATGATACTTGGAAAGTGTCCTACACTGCAGTGCAATTTTTGCCTCAACGCTCAGAATTGTCTGCTGCTATCTTGGCTTTCCACACTTTTTCCCAACAGCCTTTTAATTTGATCTCTGACTCTCAGTATGTGTGTCAACTTATTTTTAATCTTCCAGGTGCTTATATCATGCCTAGGATTGATTCCAATCTTATGGCCCTATTTCTCACTTTGCAGCAACTATTACAAGACTGGAAACATTTGTACTTTGTTCCTCACATACGCAGTCATTCGTCCCTTCCTGGTCCTCTTTCTGAAGACAAGTCACGCTGATGCTGCTGTTCATGTTTTACCCACTTTGTTCACAGATCCGTTTTTTAGTCATTCTTTTTCCATCAAAATGCCAAGGGGCTCGCACAAGCTTGCTATATTCCACTAGATCAAGCCAAGCAAATTGTTCCATCCTGTCCCCAATGTTCTGGGGCATCCCCCTTGGGGGACACAGGAGTTAATCCCCATGGTTTCATCTCTAATCAACTATGGCAAATGGATGTTACCCATGTTCCCTCTTTGGCTCCCTGGAAATATATTCATTTATCTATTGATACCTATTCCAGAGCAATTTGGGCTACGCCTCGACGAGGGGAAACAGCTAATCATGTTATTTCTCATCTTTTTTTGGCCATTACGGCTTTGGGCAAGCCCTCTTCTTTAAAAACAGATAATGGGCCTGCCTATTTTTCACAGGCTTTTTTGCAATTTTGTACAACCTGGAATATTGTTCTTACTCATGGTCTCCTCTATAATTCAACAGGTCAAGCCATTGTGGAGCATGTTAATTGATCCTTTAAGGACTGCCTTCACAAACAAATAAAAAAAGAGGGCTCCCGGGTACCAACTTTGTCATGGGTAACACAACAGGTTACAAAAATATTATTTACCTTTAACAAATTGAATTTTTCAATTTCTAATTCAACTGCCCATCAGAGGCATTTTCAACAAAAAACAAGCTTGCCTCCTCCTCTGGTACATTATCAGGCATTACCAGATAAAACATGGTTGGGACCGGTCCCTCTGATTACTTGGGGGCGAGGCTATGCTGCTGTGCTTGCCCCTAGATTCCAGCACGCTGTGTTCGCCCAGCCAAGGATGTCGTGGCACCAACCCCTGAATCCTATCCCAGAGATGGTAAAGGTGACTCTACAGACGGTGCAGCGACCAATCCGATCCCGTCGTGCCAATCCAGTGACATGGGGAGATGTGAAGAATTTGACCACCAAAGCGTAGGCAGTGCTGCAGCAGCAACAAGTCGAACAAACACCCGAGAATTTGTGTGCTGCCATTTTTGCGGTTTTAATTGCCAATTCCTTAGACATAATTTGTTTGTGCATGATTGTTAATAGCTGTACTTTGGCAACAGCAGCTGTTATTCCACCTAAACATTCGCTCAAACAACGAATGAAAGAAAACCTATGGGTGCACCTTGCAAACATCATAAAATCTGATGCCTTTTGTTTGTCTGAAGCCTATGATATGGAAAATTTGCTTTCTACATGTTTAATCCCTGTCTGTAGCCCTGTTGCTGTAATTCAGAACTTTACTGGCTTGAGTAGGTATTTGTTGGGAGGGAACTTTAACTATAAGACTATAACTAATTGGGGGGTAGCTGCATATTATCCACCCCCTAATGCAATTGATTTGCATACTCCAGTGGTAGCGGTCCCTGAAAATGTAACATGTAAAAATGGTTAATTGTACTTCTTCAAGCAAAAACCCTCACTATCTTCGCATTAGTTCACCTGTCTTAAATTGTACAGCTTTTGAAGAGACTTCCTTTAATTTTGCCCATATTTGGCTACCGCAAGGGTGGTTTTTTACATGTGGCCAAGAAACCTTTAATTATATTCCTACTAATATTAGTGAAGCGCAGTGTTCTTAGCCGGTTGATTCCTGTTTTGCTTTCTAAACAACAACTTCACTCGAGCCATATTCGGCATGGGGTCACCCTAGATGACACTTGTGACTCTGAAACAGCTTTACTTTATCAAGCAGAATACGTAGCATTGGCTATATCTATGGTGGGTGTGCCAGCACTTGCTGTTCGTGCTCATCTGAATATTAATGCTATTGCGTGTAATTTAGCAAAAACCATTAATGCCACTTCTTCAGCGATCTCAACAATCAACCATGAGCTGCAAGCTTTTAGAAAAGCTATTCTTCAAAATCATGCTGCTGTTGATTATTTGCTTCTACACCAGCATTTGGGTTGTGAAAATTTTGAACGACTTTGTTGCTTTAACATTTCAGATGAGTCACAGAACATTCAGCATCAACTTAATATTTTACATAATTTGGCCTCTGATTTAAAAATTGACACTTTAGGATCTTGGTGGGAAAGCCTTTGGTCTTGGCTACCTTCAGGCTTATTGGGAAACATCCTATGTTATTCAGTCATCATTTGTGCTATTTTGATTGGTGGGTGCTGTTTTGTTCAGTGTCTTCCCTCTTTTTGTAATATATGTATCACTGCATTTCGCCCCAAACCCCCTCTCACACTGCCTCAGGGTCAGGTTTATGCCTTGTATAAGCAACTGCAGGGAAATTTCTCTCCTGATTACGATGCCCTGACAAACAAAACAAAACAGAGTGAGATATAGAGGTAAAAGGTCATGGTGTCAGGCTGTGTGCAGCACACTGCCTTGCCTCAGATGCTATGTATCTTGCCTGCTTGTATGATCTCATTCTGGCTCTGATTTGCATTATCTCACCTTGCCTTCACCATCAGGATAATGGCATCTTAAGGGGGGCGAATAGTATCTACCAATTAAAACATTGTTGCTGGTTTGCCTTTTCTGCTTGTAAAAAACTGTATAAAAAAGCAATAAATGCTGCGAAGGAGAGAGACATCTTCGCACAGAGCAAATGACTGGACCCTGATTTCTACACTTAAGCCCCAGGTCTAGGCAGATGGATTTCTGCAAGACATCCAAACTGTACTCAAAACAGAAAGCCAGCAGAACTGGAACCAATGCAGAGAATAATTGGCTACAAAAGTCAGCAAAACAACAGTTCTAATTTGCAAAATGAAAGTACTGCAAAGAACTTTCACAATTTATAGATTACTAAAACTCTAGTTTTCATGACCTTTAACTGGGCAAAATGGTGCAACATAGGATGATTTTGGAACCAAGGTACCTCAAACGGTCTAACTTAAAATGTGCATCCAAAATCTGGGATCCAGGACTCTTGAGGGAATGAAAGTTGGAGAAGTTGTGAATACTTCAATATTACTGGCTGCTGCTACTGATCTTCATTTCCAAAGTTCTATGACAGTTCCCAGCCAGCTTTGCAGTTCCTTGCTTCCTCCTCCATCCAGCAGCAGCCACTTACCTGCTTGCTGGGAAGGGAAGAAGAAACAGGAAGGAAGGAACCTCCACACACCCTTCCTGGCCCATGCCGTTCCCCATGCACTCTACCAACCTGTGCCATCTTCCTGCATGCCTTCACTGACCCACACACCTCTTGAACACTACACACATCCTCCCTGACCTGCATTGCCTCTCCCCACCTGCATCCCTATGTATCTTCTCTGACCCATGCTGCAATTCATGGGCACCCACACACTCTTCCTAACCCATGCCACCACCCATTCATTAATTTATATAGCTACCCATCTCAGAACAGTGACTATGGGCAATATACAAAGATTAGACAATGAAAAAAATAATCCATGCACCTGGAGAATAACATTTTCCTCATAAAAAGCATACCAACAAGGTTAGTCTAACCTATTGGCCTGAACCCCTGGGGTAACATCCAGGTCTGTAGAGGCTTACAAAAGGAAAATAGTGGCTAACATGGAGCAATATTAATGGGTAGACTTACAGAGATGAAAGCGTTGTTGGCTTACAGTAAACACAAGATACTTTCCCAGGATGGAGCAATGGAAGCAGGTGTGGCCTCTTTGCTTTTATGCCATTGCTTGCTCTTTGCTCACTTCAGTCTGCCACTCTCCTTAAAGGACCCCCACTGTGTATTATGTCAGGGGGAAAAAGCATTCCAAGCACTTAACACTTAACTGGTAAAAGGGATAATTATAACATAGTGGGATAATTATGCTTCATCATTCCAAATTTTTAGATAACATTTGAAGCTAAGCAAATATACTGGGTGATAAAAAAAACCCCCACTGTTATTAACCATTCATTGATAAATTTCACATCATTATTATTTTAAAAAATTCTTAATAGTTTCCCTTATAACAAATGAACAAAAATACAATTCAAACAGTAAACATTTTCATATTCCAGTTTAGATATTGTTTGGTGACACTGAACTTCGACACTGAATTAAACCATGTTCAATCCTATCAAGTTTTTAAAAATTCCCAGAAGTGACAACACTGCTGTAAAAAAATATCCTTTTTGATAAGTTTATCAGAAATCAAGAATGCTCTAGATAAATTAAGTACTTACCGAAGAAAGAAACATAATACTTTATTTTGGAAATCTACACAAGGCATCTGGTGAGTATAAATGGAAATACTGTATAGTCTTATTTCTAATTATTGATTGTTTGCAATTATTAATTTGGCTACAGGATAATAGAAATGCTAATGATATCAGAATTACATGATATACTCAAAATAATAAAAAACAACTTAAGGAAGTTCAAAACTACTTGGCCAAAAAAAGAATATAAAATATGACTACATTCTACAGGGCAACGATAAGGAATTGAATTTAAATAAAAACATTTCTGAACATCATTTGGAAAAGCAAGCACTTAAACCTGTGGTTTTAAACATGCTAACTATTTAGCAAATCCAGGAAAGAAAAATTAGGAAAACTTTATGGAACAGAAAAGAACTGTGTTTGGTTGTTGCTTGTGTTGTATCTATTCTTGGAAAGTATCTGGGAGCAATACATTCTTTATAAAGGCAAAAAATACAGAATAACAAAACCAGTTTGCAAAAGGCACATAATCACCTTAATGTTTATAAGACATTTGTGTTAGACTGAATCTTTAGAAAAGAACAAAATTCTAATACTCCCATCAGAGAGTGATTAACTGGCACTTGGGTGAGCCTACCGTCTTCCAACACAACTCCAAGTATGATAAAAAAACTGCAGGGATAGAGATGGACATCTTGGAGACAATATTCTAGTGCTACTTATAAAAAAACATAAATCTTTCCCTTCTGAAGATTCAGAAATCTGGCCATTAGGTAGCCAGAAAATGCTTTCTAAGGTCCCACTTTCTTACTATCATAACAGATTCTTCAAAATCATGACCATGCATTAAAACAAAACAATCTCTTAATGCCTTCTGGAATGAAGATCTGGCAGACAAAAGTAAAGTTCCAGGCACTTTTACCCCATATGGAAAAAAAAATAGGCTTCTATACAAGAATCTGCTTTTATCATCAGGGATTAAGGAGATTAAAGATTGAAACAGAATTTAAACAGAACTAAGGTAAAACTGTTATCTTAGAGAGGGATTATACTTTATGATAAACCATTCCATTCATAGTCATTTTTATATATTGAATATTAGTATCAATAATTTTTATTTATGGCCAAAAGTCATGCATGCATGCATGCATGCATATATATATATGTGTGTGTGTGTGTGTGTATATATATATATAATGAATATATATATATTCATAAACTGAAGGTATGTGTGTATATATATGTATGTACAAAACATAACTGAATTACATAAAATCTGATACTTTATTGTGGCCTTTTCCTCCCACAATATGCTTTGAACTATCTGAACTTGATTCAATGATATCTTGCACAAAATTTGCTGCCATCCAGGGTTCATCCATATTTTGCAACTTAGCTCTATGCTAAAACAGTAGCTCTATGTATCTACAGCTATATTTCAGAGAGAAAGCAGTGCAAGAATTCATCAAATCTTTGTTGTCATCTATTGGCTGTGTGTGTGTTGCAACCCAGTTACGACAGCCCTTTTATGGGCATACACAAATGCATGCGCATGCATATACACAAACACATTATTTCATGGACAGATTTAGTATATAATAAATATACTCAAATGAGACACCTTCTAGGAATCCAGTTGCTTAGCTTCTTGACAGATGAATTACCACATTTAGCAAAACAAAAAAGAAAAAGTCTGTTTTAGTGTATAGTGTAATGTTGGAAAACTGATTAAAGCAGCTCATCAGAAGACTTTGGGGCAGTCACTCTCATGTAGCCCATAGAATTGTTATGGGGGAAATAGAGGGGCATTGATTACTGCCTTAAACTCTTAAGTAAAAGGTAGTTTAACAAGTAAACAAATACATGAAGAAAGAAAGTGATTCTGGAGATTCATTAAGATTTTGTATCTTCAGCAGAGTTTCACTAGAGATAACTGAAATATCAAGAAGCATGGGATCTAGAAAGATTAACTGAAGTTAAGAAAGCTTAAACTGAGTGATATGTAGCCATCTGTCAAAGGCAGGTCATATAGAGAGCACCGAGGGCTTCCAGCTGCATACAAGGCTCCTAAGTACCAAAAGGGCAGGTTGCCTATGCTGAGTCAGTCTTTGGTGCAGGAAGAATGATTTCTTTAAAGCAATTAAAAGTAAAATAGAGGTGGCAAAGACTCTAGCCATTAAAATTAAAAAAAGGAGTATAAAGCAACCAGAGATAAATCAGGATCAGCAATACCCACTTAATACAATACCAAAAATATAACAACAACAAGACAACCAATATTCAGTGATAATTTTCAGGATGTATAGAGAAAAGGGAAGAAGCACCGTTTGTTTTTTAAAAAAGAAATCTACACTATCTTTGTGGCAAGTAGATGCTTGTACAAAGAAGGACTCAAATCAGCAAAGAAATGAAATGCATATGTCAGTATAATATATATACATGATTAGGAGAAAGTTGGTATCTCACACTGTGTTTCCTGGCATGGGCACATTTATAGCAGGCATGCCGTATCAATTGCTTTTTGCTCCATCAGAGAGAGACTGCTTTGCTATCCAAACCCAGGCTTTCATCTGATCTAAACCCCAGGACAGTTGAAGCAAGCAGCATCAGTTTCATTCTAGAACTGAAAACCTTAAAAAGCAGACCTGCTGAAATGTTATTATTTGTTCATTATAAAACACTTTTCCAGTTAATAATAAGGTCTAAAGTGGAGCTAAATGTTTTGACCTATGTAGAACTGAAAGAAATGAAAAGCCGAAAGATTATTTTTTCCCCTGGAGTATACTGTTGCATGAATATTGTTGCATTTCTAGTTTGATCTTTTCTTGGATGAATTGAAATAGTCTTTGACTGTCTTTTCAACATCAGGAATTGCATAGGTCTGAGCCGCAAACACTCCAGTACAACTCCCCACCAAAAAGCCTATGATTGCAGAAGATCTTAGTTTGGCTACAACAAATCCAGCAAGAAATCCTTTGACAAATGGAGAAGCCAGCCAAGAACCATCCTGTTGAAAAAAGAAAAAGATAAGGTTTCTGAGCTAAACTAAAATTCACATATTTTCTCTAGAATTCAAAGCTAATATAATGTTACTAACTAAACATATATTGATTCCAGTTGCAGACAACTACTAATTGAGGCATTAAACAACAAATACATTGTTTCCTAATGATAGGACTGTTTAAATTGCATGCAGTGGAGTGGACCTAACTATTGAATTTTAGGAGACAGATATAGTTAAAAGATTTCCATATATAAGAATTTAGAAACTTGGATTCATTTTCTCATTATTGAAACAAGACAAATTATTTGCTGTATAATTGGCCTTTAGACATGCCCTTTGGATCACAAACATCTCCAGAACCTGAATTATTGATTATTAGTAGAAACTGGTATACTCCTGTTTCTTCATTTGGTATTGTGCATATGGTATTGTGGAGAAATTGTGGAGAAATTACAGAAACCTTTTATGTGGCTTCACTAAGAGTTAGAACTTTCTAGTCCTAACCTATTTGCCTTGAATTGTAAATAATTGGACAATTGATCTTATCTCATGATGTCCTTTTATTTCTTTCTATATTTCAAAACCTGAATTAAATTTTAATAAGCAAATACTTAATTGGGCTATTTCTGACAGAGATCAAGAAGAGTTTTCTATTTATATTTCAATCAAACATTATCCACTGCATTAATAATGTATTAATGAATAAATCATAATATACGTTCTTTATATAGCCCTAAAAATCATGAAAACTAGCTGGGTGACCTTGGGCCAGACAGCCCAGCTCACCTCATAGGGTTGTTGTTGTGGGGAAAATAGGAGGAAGTTATGTTGGATACATTAAATAAATATTGTGGTGCATTAACAGATAAACTATACAGTAAACTCTCAATTTAAAGGAAATGAAGGGCTGTCCAGTACAGTTGAATCTCCATTTGGGGGTGAGTAGATGGGTGATAATAGTATGTTTACTATGGTTTACAAATTAGGATGTTTGTTTTTGATGGAATATTAACAGGATGTTAATCAGCAAATCATACTTTGTTGACATTTATAATTAAGCATCCTGTAGCAAATGAAAGGCCTTTACTGGGAAAACAAAGCAACTCCATTCTTTTACCTGTCCCACTCCAGCCTGTACTTCATTTTCAACTTTTCGTTTCAAACTTTCCAACTGATCCTTCAAAAAAGCAAGATCTTTCAATTTTGGCAGAGAATCCTACATATTGGAAACAAAAAAGCATATTCCAAATTGCATGCACAATCTATTTCAATATCTCTGTTCCAGAAAGCAAAGAACTGAGGACCAAAGCAGTCCAGCAATTCCAAGAATTTGAAATCTGTGTGAATCTATCACTATTACTACATCAGGAAGATACTGGGTCTTTTTTTAAATGTGTCTGACTTTTCTCCAAAAGCATAAGATCAAAAACAATACTGTACATTCATGTAACACAATTTAACTATATGCTTTTCAGAGCAGGAAATAAGAATTCATTAGTGGACTATTTTTCAAATATTAGTTACTACCAGCAGCAGGCAACTTTTGTTTACCAAGGTTTGCATCACGTATATGACCAGGTCTTAGGGGGAAAGACCTATATTCAGACATACAGCTTAACACAGGCACTCCCATTAACCACTTCCCCTTATATCTCAACTCCCAACTAACATCCTACCCAGGGGTGAAATCTACTTACCTCCCTTACCGGTTCGGAAGCGCATGCGTAGAAGGTAAAAAAAATTATTTCCTGGTTAAAACCAGGAAGTAATGACACTTGGGCGGTGATCGCTACCGGATTGCCGAACCACAGGGAAAAATCGCTACCGGATCGGGCGATCCAGTCCGATCCAGGAGCATTTCACCCCTGATCCTACCTATTCATAGTTCAAAGATGGAAGTTCGGAGGTTCGAAGTACTTAGGAGAAATGAGAATATGCTGCTTCCATCAAAGCATGCCTAGAACTATGGGGGAGGCCAATCATTTTATTATTCTATTCTACAGGATCAATCTTTTCATCAAAATGATGAATACTAATCTCATTGTAAGCTTTGTCCGTTTTGTACAGGAGTACAGATATAGGTACATACGACAGAAATAGAGTTTGCATTGCCATGATACAATACTGCTTTTGAAATTTGTCCCCCCTTGAATCCCATGCACACCTGCTGGGAGAGCGGGAGAAAATCTGTAATAGGCTACATAGACAGCTTCACAGACTGAGACCATGATAGTGATGCAACATAAAGCTATTGAAAAGCTGCTACAGTTGCACTTATCAAACATATTTATAACTTGTCATAATAAAATTTGGCTAATTAATTAAAGATTGCATGTAGACGGATAGTCTAGACTGAAAGCAGTACAGTATTTCCAAAATCACCATCAAATTATAACTTTATTACATCGATTCTGTACTTTGTGGAATTATGACACAAAACATGGATTCTCGGGACAAATCCTAATGAATTACTTAAATTTTAATGTGGGAGTTCCACAAAATCCATTCTCAAATCCATATGCAAAATCAAAACCAAAGGAGTAAGAGATTCCAACCTTTTTAAAATATGCTTTTTGTTATTCTTCTGTATCTTGTTCCTATCTGTTTATTGTGTTCACTATATTGTGAGAGATTTTTTTTCAGCAGTGAGGCACCACCAAATTTAAGGAATGAATAAAATTTTAGGTGATGCAAAAATAAATAGTTTAGGCATAGGTTCTCACGAATCATATGAATTAATGCAGAGAACGGCTGCCCTCCAGGGCTTACCATTAAACTACAAATCAGCTGTATCTGTGATATGGCCCTTGGGGGATACCTTTCGTCAACTAAGGTGAAACATTATGAAAATATCATGAGGATCCATGCTTAAACCAAAAACAAAAAAAGCCAGTTCTGTGACTATCACGATTATGAAGATCGACGAATTCCAACTCCACGAGTTTCTGCACGGGGCAGCAAAAATCGTAGTTGCTCTGGCTTTAGGTGGCCAAAAATATGAAGGTTGGAGTTCGATAAATAGGTTTGGGAAGGTGTCTAAATAACGCGAATCCCCAAAGTTGATTTCTTGGGATTCGATTTTCACGGACTACCCGATTCGGGTCCAAAGCCAGCTTGCAAAAACAAGATGTCTAACAAAATACGACAAGTTGAAGGTTGACCAATGCAGCTGCCCATCTCCGCCGATATCACTTTGGGGGACGAGGGAAGAAAGACCGATCGCGAGTGAAAACCCGGAGCCAACAAGACGCTTCCGCCCGCGCGCCTACCTTATCGTCCGCCATGTTTAGCCGGAAATTGCTCGCCTTCCTTCTGCAAATGCGCAGAAGAGAGTGCCGCTCTTGTGGGTTCGGTATCTGTAGGCTTAGTTTGGATTTTTTTAAATGAAAATGAATGGGGAAATATGGATTTTAATATGGTTGTCAATGTCCATACAAACGCAAAAGCCGACAAAGGATGCTGCGTTGAAGTCACACTATCTTAATTGGTAGGGCATGTTTGAAATTCAGTGTAACAAAGCGGTTTAAAAGCTAGATGAATCCAGTACGCAAGGGGCTGGAATAGGCACTTTTGTAATTGAAATAAACATGTGTCACAAGTAAACAAGAATACGATTGAAGGTTTGTAACTCTTTTAGCATTATTCGTTTACCAACTTTTTAATAATCCCAAAGTCATTCGGAATAGGCCTGAGTATCAATTTTCAAGTTAATCAAGCCAATCGAGTTCACTAAGTCATAGAAAATTTAAGGACTGACTGACGCTATAAGATGCAAATCTTCCGCGGTTGTCCTTGCATTTAAATCCCCATCTTCCTCTCGAGAACTCAGGAATGTAGAGGACTCTTCCTCCCCCCCCCCCCCACTCCTTTCATTCTGTCTTACTCTCTCCCCAAAGCATCTTCAACATTCTTCTATTAATGTATTTTTTTCATTTCCGCTTTTTCATTCGGGTGTTCAAGGCGGCGCACCTAGCGCTCCCTCTGTTATTTTTTTCCCACAACAACCCCGCGATTGAGGTGGGGCCAAGAGAGAGCGACTTCCCCAAATATATCCAATGAGCGTCGGTGGACTGGAATTACTCTAAATTCAACACCTTCACTGTTTCACCAGACCGTTCTGTCCGATTTGGACGTGGTTTCAAGTGGCATTAGCGTAAACATCAAATGACAACAGGAAGATCAGCGTTTGGTTCAGCAGATCGGCCTTTTACTTTCTTTCCCCACCTCGGATTGTTGCAATCCGCAGGGTCGGAAGACATCAATGTGCCCTGTCGCCTGTAGGTGGTGCTGCCAGCTTGGGCTTCCTTCACGGAACAGAAGTCCCACTGAACTTGGCCCGGCTCGAGCTACATTGCATGCTGGCATCATCACCCTCCGCCCCTCCTTCTCTCCTTGGCTCGACTCGGTTTGGATCGGATCGGCTCCGCCCACCGAGGCCAAACTCGGCGTCACCCTCTGCCGCACCATCGCTGCTGCCTCCTTCCCCGCCGGGTTGCACAACATCTTGCCTCCGGAGCGAGCGAGGCAGCTATGCTGGGCAAGGACTACATGCTGGCCATCATCCTGGTCAACTGCGATGGTGAGAGTAGCAGCCGTAGGACCGGCGCGGCGGGAGAGAAGGGAGGCGAGAGCACCTATTTGGGAGGTGGGACGCGGCGGCCTCAAGTGGGATAGGATGGGAGCAACTTCGGATTCGCCGGCCATGCGGCTGGCCAAGACCGAAGAAAGCAGTGGCTTTGGGTGCCTTTCGATTGACTTCCCCACTAGGACATGGGTGTGCGCGTCTGGGTTTTGGAAAGTACGTCAGGGCTGCCTTTCCTCATTGGAGAATGGGCAGGGGGTCTGATGGGGCCATTCCTATCTGGCTACCCTCGTGCACTCGTCCTGGGCTGGGGCGTCAGCCTCTGGGCTCATGTCGGCGTCCAGATGGGCATGGCATGGCATGAAAAGGACGGGGCTTCCAGCCTCCCGCTTTTAGCAGATGATGTCGTTGCCTCAATGTGCCATGTACCTTGCCTTTATATTATTATTATTATTATTATTATTATTATTATTATTATTATTATTATTATTATTATTATTATTATTAAACGCAAGTGGTTACCTTTGCCGCCTGCTGGTCGGGGAGAAAGATGCTCACCTCTTGTCCCACATCAATGTGAAGACACTCATAATTGGTTTCCATGGTGAAAGTAAGAGGGGACAACGGGGGAGGCGAGAGGGCAGCTTTGCAAAATCCATTTCCTGTAATGTGCAGTTTTACGGGGTTCGTCTTTCTTTTGGGCCACCCTTTTTGACGACCTATTTTTAGACAGCTTTCCGTGGTGCTGAAAAAAAAGGGTAGGAAAGTAGGTTCAGTTCAACCATTTCCATTGGTTCCTTAGCAGTGTAACCTTTTTCCTTAATGTTTTTCCCTTTTTAATTTTTTTTTTTTGCATATTCAGAATAGAAATAAATATGAAAATGCTGTCTCTTCAGAAAGGTCTTAAAATCCTGACTAACTATGAAAACCTCATCAATATCAATACATCAACTATGCTCTTACTGTTGCATTAGAATTTAGATATATTTAATATCTCAGTCTATTTATCTGGAGAGCAACTTTCCTGGATTGATTTTTCATATTGTGGTTTGTCCCAGATTGTTATGAGTTTAACAGTCTCATAGCTGATGACTTTATGACTTCATAAAAGTGAAGCTTTTGCCCCATATGTGAATGGGGGGTGTAGCGTGTATATGCATGTGAGGGTAAAGGTAAAGGTTCCCCTCGCACATATGTGCTAGTCATTCCCGACTCTAGGGGGCGATGCTCATCTCCATTTCAAAGCCGAAGAGCCAGCACTGTCCGAAGATGTCTCCTTGGTCATGTGGCTGGCATGACTAAACGCCAAAGGCGCATGGAACACTGTTACCTTTCCACCAAAGGTGGTCCCTATTTTTCTACTTACATTTTTTACGTGCTTTCAAACTGCTAGGTTGGCAGAAGCTGGGACAAGTAACAGGAGCTCACCCCATTACGTGGCACTAGGAATTTGAATCGCTGAACTGCCAACCTTTCGATTGACAAGCTCAGTGTCTTAGCCACTGAGCCACTGCATCCTGCGTGTGAGTGTATAACATTACAAAGTTTTAAATGTTATAGCTAGGGTCCTATATATGCTAGCTTTATTTCTGGCTTAAGCTTCACTTTTCCAGAGAGTCCCTGGTTGTCACAGTTGTTCTGGATAATGTTTCCTTTTTCTGGAAAGCCAGAATTCAAAATGTTTTACACAAGAGCAGTTAGTCATGTAAAGCCCTTCTAGCCATTACGTTACCAAGAGCTAGACTGACAATCTAGCAGCAGGTATTTGACACAGTTCTCTGAGTAGAGCCGGGTAAATCAGGTGATCAATACTGGAAGAATATACAGAGGAAACTGTTCATGCAGCAAATTAGTTATTCAATACTAACTGCCCAATACATTGTAGAGCTTTTTCCATAGTCCACTTTAATATCTTGCTCTCTGCAGTATTGGGGGAAGATATAATTATGCCCCTTTGACAAAATGAGCCTGCCCCTGTTCCCCAGAGGAACATGAGACTCTAGTCCATATGTTTCCTCAGTGGGATTTCTTCAGCAACTTGCAACTTAGAGTCATAATTCCACTTGCTAATAGAAGTTCCACCTGATCAGAGAATAATCTTGTTTGCTTTTTATAGTTGGACCAGAACCCTAAGAATTCAAGAAAGAAACAGAATTTATTTAGCTTCCATTACTTTATGCAGCAAATTAGTTCCCTAATTTTAGGATTTCATAAATATCAATATTTTAGTGCCTATCTTGTTTTATGTTTTATACCTTCTGTTATTTCTCATATTTCATGGATCATGATAAGGTTCACACACTTAGTAGCATGCTTAGTATACTTAGCATGTAAGTATTTTATTCATAAAATAATGTTATAATTTAATTAACTAGCTTTATATGTTTATATTTAAAGTATTTTACTGTTTGTATTTATAGTGTTTCATTCTCTGAACCACTTTATATAATTTAACTTCTAGAAAACATTTTGTATTGTACTCTGAGCCTTGCAATTTCTTACATTTGTATGAAATGCTGGTCAGTAATTGTAATAATGATACTATTATTTGGCTAATCTTGATAAGTTATAGAGGACTGGACCTGGTGGTGATTAGATGGGAGACCATTAGGAAATTACAGAATTCTGGGCTACACTGGGAAGTTGAAAAGGGCATCCTGACAAAAGACATTGTTAAAAGCACTCCCCTATGAATGAAAACCACTTTGATATGTTCATGCATGCAACTGAGTTTAGCTTGGAGAAAACTGTACTTCTAAGTTATTGAAAATATGAAATCTTGCCCCCTACCTTATTTTGCATGTAAAAATATAAAATTGTTACAGGACTGAAGTCAACTCAGAGACTTCCAGTTGGTTATCTTTATTAAAATAAGTATGTTTTTAATACTCTATCACTAAACATAGATACTCTATCATACTCTATCATAAAACATAGAATAACAGGTTTGAAAGGACCTTGGGGGTCTTCTAGTCCAACCTCCTCCTCAAACAGGAGACTCTATGCCATTCCAGACAAATGGTTGTCCAATTTCTTCTTGAAAATCTCTGGTGATGGAGCACCCACAACTTCTGGGAGCAAATTTCTGTTTTCATTGTCAAGAAATTTCTCCTTAGTTCTAGATTGGTTCTCTCTTTAATGATCTGCCAGTTGATGTCCTGCCCTCATGTGCTTTGGAGCATAATTCAATAATTCAATCCCCTCTTGACAGCCCTTCAAGTACTTGAAGATAGCTACCGGTATTATATCACCCCTAATCCTTCTCTTCAATAAGCTAGACATACCTATCGTAGTTCCCTTAACCATTCATTATACAGTTTAGCTTCCAGACCCCTTATCATCTTTGTTGCTCTTCTTTGCACAATTTCTAAGGTCTCAGCATCTTTTTTACATTGTGGTGGTCAGAACTGGATGCAATATTCCAAGTATGATTTTACCAGTTAGTAGAGAGCAGTATTATTACTTCTCCTGATCTGGGTGCTTTCCCTCTGTTGATGCATTGGCTTTTCCGGCAGCTATAGCACATTGCTCACTCTTACTTAAGTGGTTGTCCACTAGTTACTACTATTGAGCCAGGTAGCGCCTATTCTATATCCGTGTATTTGATTTTTCTTTAAAGTTAAAATGAAAGCCCTAAAAGGAATCTTCCATCTAGATTTTAAATTGGATTTTGAAAGAAATAAAAACAAGACAAGGGAAAAGGAGACAGAGGAACATTTTTTAAACAATAAAAAGATTTAACTCGGAAGAGAGGAAACGGGTGTTTTAAAATGGATACTTTGTTGCTGAAAGAGTTGTGAATTGAAGAGAGACATCTGCTGGAGGAGAGATTGTGGGAAAGAGCCATAGGAGTATACAGCTGAAAAGATTAAGAGAAGCAGAGAGACAAGGACTGAGATTGTGATGGCTCAAGTGAGCATTTGAACTGGACACTATCTGGAAAGAAAAAGGAGATATCGCATGGACTTTGAAACTAGAAGTATAAGTAAATGAAAATAATAAATTGGAAAATTCTAGCCTTCTAAAGTGACAATATGGAGAATTGGGAGGATGAATGTGAGATATTAAGGGAGATATTTGAAAAAATAAGAGAAGCATTTAAGGGAAATAAGGAAGCAGAGGATTGGTTAGAATGCAAGAAAAAAGAGAAAAGATGAATGAGAAGCAAGAGAAACAAGGAGAAAATATTGAAAAGGAAATAAATGAAAATAAAGATAGATGATTACACTGGGATTAACAGTGATAGAATAAAAATGGATAAGAGAGAATACATCTCAAAACTGAAAAGAAGAGAAATAAATGGGGAAATATTGAGGGAAAATTAACAGAGTGAAAATTAAAGAAAAGAGGCAGAAAGGGAGATATATGAAAAGGAAGAGGAAGAAGGTAAGGGAATGGGAGAAAGAAAGGAAAGCATCAAGAAATGGGATTGTGGAGAGTTTAAAAGAAAATGGTTAAGAGTCAGTGAAAATATTAATATGTTAATAAAGAGAAGGATGTTAGTTGTAGAAATTATATGTGAAAATACTGTTTAATGTAAAGTAGATCAGTAGATGAAATGTGAAAAAAAATAAACTGTTTTTGATGTTGGAGGAAGCACTAAGTGGAGAGAAATAAGAGCAACAAAAGAATTAATTGAAATTAAGATGGAAATTGAAATGTAAAATTGAATGAAAATGAAATGTTAGTAAATGATGTAAATGACAGACTTGTAAGAAGTAAAACGGAAGAAATACATTGTTAAAGGGAAAAAAGCAAGGGTTGGAAGATTATTTTAACAAAGGTTTCAAGGAAAAAATGCAATAAGTTGAAATATTTGTTAATAATTAAAAAGTGGAGGGGAATTTCGAGTAATATTTTTAATAAATGAGAAAGATTGGGGTTGCCTGGACACCATAGTGGAAAATATTAAATTGAAAATGAATACAGCAATAGAGAGAAATGAAAGAGGAGTAGAGAGTAGAGAGATGGAAGAGAAGGGGAGAAGAGAGAGGGAT